AAAAAAAAAAAAACAAAAGCAAAAACAAATAATTGCCAGTTAGTATAAGTAAAGTATGTATCCATATGGGATTTTGAATGACATTTTATGACTTTCAAATCTAAGACTTAGATTTACGAGGAATCCTTGGAAATCTTATGTCCACATGTGGGATTTTATATATGGTTTTGTTATTGAAATAAATAGGGGTGAGCGAAACCGAGACGAAATCCAAAAACTGCGTCAAATCGCATAATTAGGTTCGGTTTGAAATTTAATGTGAAAAGCATTCGATTTGGTTCCGGTTAGGTTTTTTCCTACACTGCATCGCAGTGCAATTATCATTTTTCATAACTTCAATTTTTGGTTTTGTTTGATTCGGTGCGGTTTTGCACCCAATCACACCAAATAATATAAAATATACAGAAATTCGAGGTAAAACCGAAAATCAAGCCAAACCATGCATTTCGGCGCAGTGCGGTTTTTCTCAGTTGCAGCGCGGTTAGGTTACTTTCTTTTTTTTCCCTAGATTTGGCTTTTCAGTTTTTTGCGGTTCTGTGCGATTTAGCACCAAGCCGCATCACTACTCACCCTAGTGAAAGCTCACTACGTCAACAAAATCCAGACAAATCCAAGTAAAAAATATATTGAATGCCTCATAACTTTTTAAGACTTTTTGAAAACTCAAATGTGGACTTTTAAAAGTCCTAAAAGTCCAAATTAAATACACCGTAATTCTTAAAATCGCAAAGTCTTTAAAACTTTCAAATGAATACACCCCTAAGTAGATTAAATGGGAGATATTTGCAGTAGGAATACAAGTCTCTACTCTCTAACCTCTAATCAATAAAAACTAAAGATGTGTTTGAAATCCTTGTGCCCTATTACTAATGAATCTACTTTAATCTTTATCCTAAGGAATACTAGTCTCTACACTCCAATGAAAAATAAAGATGTGGTTGAACTCCTTGTCCCTATTACTATTGAATCTACCATAATTCATTGTCCTAAGCCAGCAATCTGAAAATGGTTCCTTGTTATTGTCAAAATACTGAAGTTTCTTTAGAAACGTATTAACCAACCCACAATAGTTAGAACCATGCTAAATATGATCCTTCCTTTTCGCAATAAAATCAACATAATTTTCTGTTAAACTGCTATTTATAGCGCCATTTGCTGGCTATCAATGCATGACGTAAGAAAAAATGTCTGCTATTTATAGCGCCACACATGCTGCATGTCGATAAATGATATAAGAAGAAATGTTATGTTCATAACATAAGATAGAACTCACTTGGAAGCATCTACACGACCATAGTAAATTTCCAGTATCCCCAGCTCTAACTGAAGAACGGAAAGGATTGTGGAACAGTCTTCATTCGCACACCAATAATCTCTTATCTTCTCTAAAGTGTCGAAATGAGACAAACATTCACGAGTAAACACTTGCAGCAGATCAAAGAGAATGGATGAATGTCCGTCCAACAATTTCTGATGCAAGAACAAAGCTCTAGCCAACCACCATGTAATGCTTCTTACTCCATCAATTGAAGAAAAATCTCCTTGAAATAGCAAATCTCTGGTCCTCATCAGTAGAATCTTTCCAAAAATCAAGTACTGGCAGCAAGAAAATGAAAGATAATTTTCAAAGAAAGAACGAAACCACACACATCATATACAAATATTGGATTCTTCATTTCCATTGTCAATTGCCTACTCCATTAAAAGGAAACCATATTTTTCCATCAAGCTATTTCATTGGAACAAGGACTATTGCTTTCCATTTTTTATACAAAACATTGCAAGACTATAATTTCAATTCTCAAACCCCATACACAATCTTACATCACAATGACTTATGAAATAGTATCGAGTCAATTTCATCCAATTATACTTGTTGGACTCCAAGTATATCTATTTCAGATATTACAATTCATTTTATCCAACTGCTGTATTTTTTTCCCGAAAGTAATAACATCAATCAATCAAACTCGAAATGAAAAACAGCATGTACCCGAACATTAACGATTAAAACCAATGACTACAGAGAATATGACTTCGCTTTGACTAAAATAAGTAACAGGACAAAAGATTAAAAAGCTGCATCAACCTGCAAATTAGAGAATTTTGCATGCAAGTGAGAACCAACGGACATTAGCTCTTTTTGTGCCCATGCTTCCCACTCTATCCAATAAAGATTCCCTCTTTCATCCTTGCGAATAGGTAATTCCTCAAGCAGCATCAAAGGAATGTTATCCAGTGGCCTGTCCAAGTGAGCAGTCAATAAAAAAGGACATCCATTTTTAGCTTATAAAACCAAATAAAAGAGAATCACTTCAGAGTCGTATAACTGTAACTTAGCCAAGAACGAAACAGATTTCAACCTGTCAAAAAGATTACCTAAAAGCTTGATTTTGAGTTAATGATACCCAAGTGGGAAAAAGATTAAACCTTTGATCAAATAGAAACTTAATTGATTTCATTTTTCTGAAAATTATCTTTCTCAGTGTTCGTGATTCTGATACTTGTAAAGCAAAATGCTCCTATGAATGACAGATTAAACGAACATAATCAAGAGTGCCATCGAGTGACTCACCCAGTAAAGTTGCACTGGGCGAAGGAGAGCAAAGCAGAAACTCCCACGGCTATCACGAGCAACGCTTTATAACCCAATTCCAATGAATCATCGCCACCATTAACATTCAAAAACGAGCTGATGCAATTCGGGAGCGTCTCCGTATAGAAATGCTCGGGGGACTCACACGAGGCGAGATGGAGATCAGAGAACAACGCTTGAGAAGCTTGAGGGGAGGAGAGGGCCTGTACATAGGAACCTGTCTCGATGAATGCAACGACGTCGTTCAGGAGCGAGTGCAGGTGAGGGAACCTGGAAGCCACGGACGGCGAGGACTGGATGGGTGACGGCGGCCGAGAGGGGTTTTCAGACGGCAGCGAGCAGCGGAGGAGGCGGAGCTCGAGTGAACGGAGAAGGACGCCGTCGTTTGCAGCCATTTTCTATAGAGAAGGGGGAGGAGGGTTTTGCAGGTGAAGGGTTTTATGAAATTTCTTCGAGTCTTTGACTATTGGTTTGGCTGAACTGAAGGACCAGCTGTAAAATTTAGAAGAGTGTAAATTGAGAGAACATATTTCTTGGTATATGTTTTTTTTTTTTTATTTTTTTTTTTGGTACAAACTTGGTATATGTTTTTATTATTACTATTTGATCACGTGCACATGCACATAAATTTAAATTATTATAACTTATAAGTTACATGTATGTGTATAATTATAAAATTGTAAGTTAAATAATAATATCATATTTTAAAAATTTGTCGTTATTAAAAAAAAAAAACATCATAAAATTCATCACTATATTTATTATATATTAAAAAATGGATAATATTTTTTATTAAATTCAACTAATATAGTGTATCTTTGCATGAAAAGTTTGAATATGAATGAGCTGGTGCAAAGATCTCGATGACTTTTCTTATATACATTTTGCATTGTATTTATATCATATCAATACTTAATACTTCTTTTGCATGTGAATAGTCAACATACAAATTTAAAAAATATTTTTTACCATCCAAATTTAAGTGTTTAAACATTATCTCGTAACAATGCAACAATTGCATTATCCAAATATAAAGAAATAAAAATGGTAATCGCATGCAACCGTTACAAATCCAAAATATAGTAAAAAATAGGTGGATGGTTGGATGGAAGAAATTAAAAGAAAAAAGTTGTAACGATTTTTGGATGGAGGTCATAAATTTTTTTATTAAATGCAACATATTTTTATTAAATGAACTCGTGTTATTATTAATTGAAGGTTAAATAAAATTAAATGAAACTTGCCAACAATTATAAATATATAGATATAGATATGTTTTAGGAAATACTACGGTCCCGTTAATTAATTACAACGAGCGCAGAATTATCTTCACATGTTCGATTGGTGGATTAAGGTGGGACATTTGATAGTGTATAACACTCATTTAATGACAATTTTTTAAACACATCTAAATTAGTCGGATACTAAACACCTAATTGAAAAAAAAAAAAAAAAAAAAAAAAAAAAAAAAAAAAAAAAAAAAAAAAAAAAAAAAAAAAAAAAAACCTAAACCTTATGGTCATTAGGTAACACTGCTTCATGCATGTTAAGAAAACTTCGTGGAACAAAACTTGAACATTGTGGAAGTATAAAGTTGTTCCCCTCAAATAGATCATCACGAGTGGAGTATTCATGTGATGTTTTATTAAAAATTTGTCAAGAAACCTCGTGGGCTTGATCGTAGGAAAAAAAAATACAACTACTTCCATGTCTTCTTATCATCATGAGAAATCACATCATTTATGTTGTAATCCTCATTATACCATGAATATGCTTCGTTAAAACCTTATGAGGAAAAACTCAGTGGGACACAATGAAGGAAAAAAAAGTACACTATTCATGTGAAGATGTCATCTATGTAGCCTCATTAAAAACCTTGGCGGGGGAAATCCTCTAAAGTTGTTTGAGCATAAGGGCCTCATTAAAGATCTTCATATCCTGGAACAGTAAACCCCTTATATGTTTAGGCAAGGTTATCAACTTCTAGGTTTTCCAATGAATGCCTCTTTGCAGGTCTTCTCCCTTACTCCACCAGAATTAAGCAGTCAACCGGACTATCTCATTACATAAACTTGCAGGTAACTTGAAGCATTACATTGCAAAAACAGGTAATGCATTAATCACTACCTTAATCAGCACCTCCTTCCCTACAGTAGATAAATATTTGTTCTTCTAGTTGATTAACATGCTCTTGTTTCAATTATGTAATCAAAGGCCTCTTTTTTGGACCTACCAATCCCCAAAGACAAGCCCAAATATCTTGTACAAATGAGTTGAAATTCCTTCCAAAAGATCACAAATACTCTGTTTAGTGGAATTAGATGTATTCTTGCTGAAAAAGACATAATATTTTAAGATTTACTCTTTGACTTGAAGATAACAAGTAAGTTCTTGGAATTAATTTCAACAGGAGTGCCTGGTTAGCCCTTATTTTGCCAAAAAAAAAAAAAACCATGGAATCATAACGAAACAACAAATGTGTCAAAGTTGGACCATCTCTTGCAATCCTCAACCCTTTGAATTCACCAATATTAACTGCATTACTTATAAGAGCAAACAAAGCTTCGGAAACCAAAAGGAAAAGATAAGGAGACAATGAGTCGTTCTTGTCTCAAACCTCTTGAAGGTTTTGTAAATCTCACTGCTTGCCCATTCACAAGAAAGGAGAAAGAAGAGGTTGTTATACAAACCATAACCCATTTGACAAAGACAGCATGGGAAATTCATTCCGACCATAATTAGTCTAACACTTTGCCACTCTACTCTATCTTATCTCTTCATCATGTAAAGATTGAGAGCCATAAAACAGTGATTACTTGTACTGTGCCTGTTAAGATAGTGGAAACCTTCTTAAGCATTTACCACATTATCAAGGAGTTGCCTACCAGGGATAAAAGCTGATTGGGCTTGCCTTATGCACAAATGAAGACAACTCTTATGCCTTGAAACTAAAATTTTGGAAATTACTTTATACACCACTACACAAAGACTATTTGGTCTGAAATTGCTCAGGTTGAGGATTTAAATGAGAGTCACAAGGGTGTGGTTCCAATACCTTATTGTCCCGAATGGAAGAAGCTTCTCATTGCACAAGTCCTCCTTTCGAATGGGCCAAAAGTGCTGATAAGCACAGGAATGAGGAGGAGTTAATTTTTTTCCTGTACTAGAGTTGAGTAAAATCTCAGCAGCATCAGTAAATCAAAAACCACAAAGATTAAATAAACAAATTACAAACCACAAATATTAAATCACCAAAGATTGATTTCCCATTACACCACTCAAATCCAACAAGTTCATCACTTAAAAAAGAAAATCTCATAAATACGCAAACGGGTGTGCGGCGGCGTCTCTAAGGGAAAAATTCCGGTACAACATCAGTGTTTCATGTGATTGATGATTAACTAATGTCAGACAGTGTATGGAATTTCGTTCAACAACAAAAATACACATCAAATTACAGCAAAAAGACAAGAAGAAGAGAGTGAATTTTAACTGCTGCTGTTCAAAAATGTGTGTTGCTGAGAAATGCAACCATGCATCTGGTACTCTGAAACAACTTGTCCATTTTCTGCCATACTGAAGACTCTACTTCCAGAAGCTTCTGGGCCTTTTCCTGTAACGCGGGCTGGCGACGAACACTTTCACCGTGAATCTGGTCATAAACCGAAAATAACATCAAAATTCAAACATGCTTCATGACCTAAAATAATCCTTGTAATATCCAAAAAAAATCCTGTCCATGGTCAACTGAACAAATTACGAACGCTCGATGCTACTACAGTACTAACAATACTTTCATAAAAATATTTACCATAAAAATGCAACAGAGAAGATGAATCTTTACCGTTAAGAATAGCCGGATCATAGCCTGAACGAACTCAAAATTGTTTCTGCACGAAACCTCTTGTATGAAATAATCCAGCAGAATCTCAATAAAATGCAGTTCTGGCCTAGAGCTAGCCTCCAGTTCGTCCTCATCGTCTATAATCTGAAGCATCCTAAGTTCCATATCCAGAGTCGAGGCAGATAAGCCTTTGATATAATCCGTAAAAGCTGCAACTGCACATATATTCATCACATTAAAACATAAGCTCACTTTTCGATGCCTCAAGCCATTATAATATCAAAACAAAAAATACAAAAATAAAACATTTGATAGAAGCATTGAAGGACCATGAACACACAATTTTTTTCATCTGCCGAGGACTGAAGATACTGCAAAAACTGTGATGTGGGAAAATCAGCTTTTTTCATCGTCTTCTCCATTTCACCAGCTTCCAAATCCTTAACCTCTCCGGCAGGTTCCTTCGGTTTAAATAGAATCTCCCCAGACAGAGAAGGTAATGAAGGTAAAAAGAAAGGAGCCTTCTCGGGCTTTTTCGGCGGCTCAACCGGTTTATTCCTAGCTTTTATAATATCCAAGTTGATGAGGCTCTGCCACTGGCTCTTGGGCAACAATGAAAGCGTGACAAGATCTGGTATCTGCCTATCCAAAACAGGCAAACCCAAACCATCTCCCTTTTCCCTAGAATTATCTTCATCCTCGTCACCATCCTCGCCCACAGAATCCCCAACTGAAGACAGGGACGGCAAATTAATGCTCACAACCTCCTTCCCACTCCCATATGAATCCCCTCTGCCAGGAGCAGAAAACATAGCCCGATTAACCCACAGGTAAACCCCATTCTGGTCCACGTGGGCCGTTGCCAAAACATCCATGTTCGGCGAAAGGGAGAGAGCCGTCACACACACGTCTACATGTAACGCGTCAATCTGTTTCGCGAGAATCACGTCCCAAACTTTTATAGTCCCGTCCATGCTAGATGTCAGGAGCCACTTCCCATCCTCGCTGAAGCATGCGTCTGTCACGCGGTCCGTGTGGCCCTCAAACTTCCGCACCATCCTCCCGGCAACAACGTCAAACAACCGAATGACAAAATCGTCCGCAACAGCGGCCACAAGTCCATTCTGACGGTGGTAAACGATCCTAACAAGCGAACAACCAATCTCCCATCTCGATCTAAATCCCCGCCCCTTGAAATCCCAAACCTTAATATCACCATTAATACCGCCACTAATCAAGACAGTGTTGGTCGAGTCACAAGCGACCCCGATCACCTCCCCGCCGTGGGCCCCATGCACTTTTTCTGATTTATCGACATAACTTCCTCGGCTGATCCCCGACTGCAGGTTAAATCTTTCAATCCACCCGCCGGCAGTCCCCAACACAGCAAAATTCCCACAGGCACTAATGGCGCAGGCCCGTACAGGCCTTCGGGCCTTAGGGCTCGGGACCAGAATGTGCTCCCCAATCACAAAGTTCTGGAGCCTCCACACGTAGGCTCGGGAGGAGTCCGCGTGGCATGTGACCACGTTGCACCAGTCACGCTCTCTGATCTCGGCCACATCGAAGGCGATGACCGGTGGGAGCTTCACCTCGGCCTCCCTCCGCTTGAGCTTCCGTGCCCGCTTGGACACGTGGCGCTGGGAGAGCTCCCTGCTCTGCTGGTCCTGCACGACCGAGAAGAGGCGGAAGGCCCTGTCCTGGCCAGCAGAGAGCACGTGCCTCCCGTTGGCATAGAACCGAATGCAGAGGGGAGGGGCACTGTGGCCGCTCCTAAAACGGAGGAGGCGTGGGTCCCCATCTGTGGTGTCGAAGATCCAAATCTTGATGGAGTTGTCGGCCGACGAGCTCACGAGCACAGGCTCGTTCGGGAGGAAGTGTAGGGAGACAACCGGGCGATCGTGGGCCTCACCGATCACAGACTGGAGCCTCCTCTTTTCTAGATTCCAGATTGTTATGACACCGGACGAGCCACCGGAGGCCAGGAGGGGCCGCCCGTCAGTGCAGAAGGATAGGGCAGTCACCGAGCCTCGGGTGGAATGGGCAAAAGTAACGACCTCCTCGTCATATTGGATGTTGTGTACGTGGATTTTGCCGTCCGAGCACCCGACGGCAACTACATCTAGGGCTGGGGATGAGACACAGCAGGTTATGGCAGAGTTCCAGCCTTTGAACTCGTAGAGCATTTTCTTGGTGCTGATGTTCCACAGCTGCAAAGAACCTTCTTGACTTCCGACGAGTATCTGTTGCGATATATTTTTAAGGGAGTTGTTTTAGATATATGTGAGAATGGAGACGAAAGGTTGTGTAACTTGTGTTTTGGTGGGGAGGAGAGGAAGTACCTTGTTTAGATAAGTATCTGGATGCATTATGCAGGTTGGCGTAAATTTAGTTCCTAGTGAAATACGACCAACAGGAGATGTATTCTCGGTTATTCCTTTATATGCCCAGATGAAAATGTTGCCCATGACATCTACGCTTAAAATGTAATCACCAAAAAGTAGCAAGTGATTGACCTTAGCTTCATGGCTTTCCCAGGTCGCCACCTGCGAGATTGTTTGCAAAATTCTTCAGCTGATGTTAAGGAAAACGATCACTCCCATGCAAAAGTGAGAATATCTCGAGTAATCAGAAAATAAGAGTTCTTCATATCTAAACTAGTAAGGAACATGGATGGGAATCTAACTCGAAATAATTCACATAACTCACACCAACTTATTCACAGAAAAGTCCTCTCTATGCTTTTTTTTTTTTTTTTCCTTTGCACTTTCCAGAGGAAGATAATAACAACTAGTAAGCAATATAAATTTCTCATAATACCTGATGAGCACGTTTAAAAACAGCAACATTATGTCCATATGCGGCAAACGTATAGTCTCGATATGAGGCTAAAGCTCTTATTTTCTTTGGCAGTTGAGGCCCTGAATTTTCACATGTTAAAATAAAAAAAGTTAGACGTAGAAAGCAACCAGAATCACGTAGTAATTCAATAATAAGTCCCATATCAAAGGGAAATGCTATGGTCCCGTTACGGCACCATCCCGTCCGGTGTTTTAACCGTTGGATTATCTATCTTATACTAACGAGTTGGATTATCTATCATATACTAACGACATGTGTATCCAACGGTTAAAACTCCCGACGGGATGGTACCGTAACGGGACCGTAGCATATCCCCAAATCAAATCTAACCACAACACACAGTTACAAACCTCAAAAGACAAGTATTTTGAAAAAGAAAACATTTAGCAGCAACCAGCTGACAACTTAAGAAGCATCAATATTCAACATTTGTTCGAGAAAATCAAACTAGTAACTAATAAAATCTCCATACTTTCAGCAACACTAAAAATTGCAAATACAAGAAAAAGGAAGAACTAACCGACGAGTACTAAATTGAGCTTCCCGCACTGCAACAAATTAAACAACGTCAATATTCTCAAGGAGCGGACACAAACTATTCTTACACAAAAAATAAGACTAAAAACAATAAAACAAGATTGAATAATACATTGTAGACTTGGAAGGCCTTGCCGACGCTGACGGTGACAAATGTTTCCGTACCGAGCCGCTGTATTGAGAAGGGCACATGAGATGTTATATACCCAATCGCTCGAAATGGTTCGAATATCCCCATTCTTAATCAAGCAAAAATCTTTTGAGAAAGGTAATTGGATACGGAAAGATAACTATTTCAGAATTATGGTCGGCCCAATGCCGGATAAAGGCGGAGGCTCGGCGGCGGGGAGAGGGGCGGAGGCTGGGCGGTGGGGAGAGGGTTTTTTTAGGGGTTATGGAACAAAGCTTTCAGATTTTAGTGTTTTTCTTTTTTTTTTTTT